TGGAATGCGGGTGATCGAACCTGGGTCACCTGTGTGTGCAAGGCAAATGACCTACCCACTGTATAATCCTCTGGCCCCATGAGGTGACAATTTCAGTATCTATGTGACTGGGGAATGGAGAGGAGGGGCTATGATGTTGGAATATGAAACTTTCTAGACTGGGTGGTGGCTATGGCTTACATTTGGCAAGCTGATCACAAATTGTTAGAAAAGAAGGTAAATTTTATGATGTGTAGATTGATCACTTGACATCCCATTACTCATCGATTTGCTTGAGCAGGCGCCAGTAAAGTCTCCATTTGTCCCTGTCGCGTGCTAGTGTAGCCCAATGGCGTCTGCTCATTCTGGGAACACGAAGAGCCTCAAACCAATTGTTCAGGGTCTTGACGAAGAAGTCTAATCATCTCCTAGGTGGGCGGCCACACGGTCTTTTGACGTCCCGTGGAATCCAGTCGGTAATGGATCTAGTCCAGCGGTCGTCTCCAAATCTTATTTGGTGTCCAGCCTATCTGATTTTTGATGCCTTGGGAAATGAGACAGCATCCCTGATTCTTGATCGTCGACGGAGGTCGGAACTCTGGATTCTTTCTCTCATTTGAGTGAAGCGTGATAGTCCAAGCATAGCTCTTTTGATTCCTCTTTAGGAGACCCGAATAGCGTTCTCATCATGTTTGCATAGGGCCCAGGTCTCTGAGGCGTATGTTAATGCAGGAAGAACAGTAGAATCGAAGAGATGTCCCGGAGCCAGAAATTCTTTGTCCTTTTAGCTCTTTCTTCGACACTGGTTGAAGGCATTCCAAGCCGCTCCCTTCCTCCTGCGCAACTCAGGTGCCAGGTCATTCGTCATGTTGACTTCTCGACCTAGGTACACATAATGTTGCATTTGGAGATGTTCATTCCGTTGAGAGCGAATGGAACGTCGGGAATGAGACTGTTTCTCATAAGAAGAATGTGTAGATTATAAATCAATAAAAGCCTCTTTTTTTTTGTTTTGGGGCCCACAGCCACCCCAAAACCAAAAGCAGTCCTTGGTCCACACCCAAAAGTGGTCCTGGTTCTGTGCTCAGGGATAATTTCTAGTGGGGCTCCAGGGCCCCTATGTGATGTTGGTGATCAAACTTGGTCGAGCTGTGTGCAAGGCAAAGCCCCTTACTTCTTGTACCATTGTTCCAACCCAATAAGGGCTTTTTAAGAAGAGTGTTAAGGGAGCACAGAGGGCCTCTTTAGTTTTAAATTCAAATGATGGTCCTATGTTTGTTGAGAGAGAAAAGAAAGAGGAGGAACTGGCTGGACAAGTGGTTGTGTTTCTGACTAAGTCCAATAATGGGTGCTGGTAAGTAAGGTGAAAAGACGGATGGGTTCTCATGCCCTTGGATGGCCAAGTCCAATTCATACCTCTGGAGAGCAGCGACCAGGCTGGCACACAGGACGTGGGGATAATCTTGGAGAGAGACCACAGGGGTGGAGGCAAGGAGGTGGGAGGTGGCAAGGAAGGCATGAGCTCATGAGCCCTCAGGTAAACCTGGCACTGTGGGGCCTGGTAGGCTGTGGGTGAGAAGGCAGAGGAAGAAGGTTGAGGCCATTCCCACCAGAGGGAGGGGCAGAGGACAGTGGCAGGACAAAGAGCATGTGGGGGCCATCGTGGACCTGCTGACAGCCAGGGAATGTCCCACAGACATCCCTTGCTTATGACTCGGGCACTGGCGTGTGCTGAGCAAAGGTTCAGACCGTAGGGTGGGTGCGGAGCCAAGGAGACCCCTTGAATCAGAAGAAAACTGGGCTGATGGAAACTGGGCAGAATTTTTAAGGGGTGGCCAGGGAGAGAAATACAAGGGAAACAGGAGGAGGAAGATGAGGAGTATGATGTCAGAGAGTCCAGGGAGGAGTGAGAGCCCAGAGCAGGGAAAGCGGCTTTGGAAAAAAGTGGATAAGGGGGCAGGGGTCTCTGGAGTCTGACTCCAGGGGAGTGGAGGCAAGAGCCAAGGACACTTAGGGGATGAGAGGGAGGGGAGGCTGTGGGGGGCCGGAGAGGGCAAGGCCATCTGAGCCATCTTGGGGGTTGACCCCAGAAGTCCTGGTTCTTCTGTTCTGAGGTGGGATTTGCCCTTTGTGCTGTGGGCTCAGCCCAGGAGGGGGTTTCGAGGAGACAGCTGCGGAGCCAGGGCTGGGCCTCACGGGGCCCTAGCAGGGCGAGGGCACCCTTCATCCCGGGGTGTGGGGAGGTGCAGCCTGGCACAGAAGCGGGGCCCTAGCAGGGCGAGGGCACCCTTCATCCCGGGGTGTGGGGAGGTGCAGCCTGGCACAGAAGTGCCTTGTTCCACCCCAGGACCTCGAGTTCTTTGTTTTGCATAAAACAGGAAGAAAAGTTCCTGGCTGAAAGTATGGGCGTTGGGGATTTGAATAAAAGTGGAGCAGCTGGCAGGCGTGTTGTCACTGAGGGCACTGGATAGAGTGGCCGCTCCTTCATGCCTCGCTCCCCTCCTTGCCCGGCTGCCTGCTCTGGGGTCTTCCCTACCCTTGAGCCCTGCTCTAAGCTGCCAGCTTTTCTTCCCAGTGTCTTCCCCAGCTTCCTGACTCGTTTTCTAGCAGTTTCTCTGAGCCTTTGAGTCAGTCCCCCACAGAGCAGCCAGAGGGAGCTTTAACAGACATGAACACGCTCCCACCCCAAATACCAGGCAATTCTCACCGTGGTAAGCTTGTCCTGGGAGACCTCGTCACTGTCCCTTGGTGTGTGACTGCTCTGGCCATGCCTGAGCCACCTCCTCTGTCCGTGCCTGACTTGCCTCGTGCCTGAGGGCTCCATCCCATCACCCCCCAGCCCCAGCCACGTGCCATGTCCTCCAGTCGACCTTCCCTGCCCTGGGAAGTGTCCCCATGCTCCATCACCTCTGAGGATGTTTTGGGGGTTTCATTTTTGCCTTAAAGATTTTTAGAGGAAAAAGGGACCTTGTCTTACATAGTTGCTAGTATGTTTTTCTCAGTCTTAAAGAATGCCAGAAGAGAAGGGCCTTTGCTTAGGAGATGGTAGGCTTTTTTTTTTTCTTCCTTTTTTCCTTTTTTTTTTTTTCATTTTGGGTCACACCAGTGATGCTCAGGGGTTATTCTTTTTTTTTTTTTTTTAATTTTTAATACTGAGACATCATGAGGTACAGTTGCAGACTTACACATTTTTGTGCTTGGGTTTCAATTATACAATGATCAAATACCCATCACTCCACCAGTGCCCATTTCCCACCAACACGGATCCCTGTATCCCTCCCACCCCCCCCCCCCCCCCCATCCCATCCTGCCTCTGTGGCAGGGCATTCCCTTTTGTTCTCTCTCTCTCATTGGGTGTTGTGGTTTGCAAAAGAGGCACTGAGTGGCAATCATGTTTAGTCTATAGTCTACTTTCATCATGCTTCTTCCATCCTGGGAGGATCCTCCCAACACCTTTATTTGGCGTTCCCTTCTCTATCTGAGCTCCCTTTCCCCCTAGCATGTGTGGTTGGCCTCCAAGCCATGGAGTAAAATTCCTGGTACTAATCTCAGCCATTCTTGGGTGTTAGTCTCCTATTTTGTTACTCTGTGTTCCCCAGATGAATGCAATCTTTCTATGTCTATCACCAGGGGTTATTCTTGGCTCTGCACTCAGGGATCACTCCTGGCGGTGCTTAGGAAACCATATGGGATGCCAGGGCTTGAACCCGGGCCAGCCACATGCAAGGTAAATGCCCTACCTACTGTACTATTGCAACGGCCCCTAATAAGCATTCTTGTATTTGTAGAGGACTGTGGAAAGCCCAATTAGGTCAGGAAAAAAACAAAAAATCCCAACGATGTGGCTGCAAGCTGCCCATGAGGTGAGTTTCTTTTTTTCTAAATTTTTTTTTGTTTGTTTTTGGTTTTTGGGTCACTCCCGGCGATGTTCAGGGGTTAGTTGCTTCTGGATCATGCGCTCAGGAATTACTCCTGGCAGTGCTCAGGGGACCATATGGGATGACAGGAATCGAACATGGGTTGGCCCCGTGCAAGGCCCATGAGGTGAGTTTCTTGGGCAGAGACCACCCTGTGGTGAGATTCCTGCATCCTGATCCCAGAGATTCAGAGGAATGTTCCCAAACAGGAGAGTCGCGGAGGCGGAGGGAGGCCAGCCCCTTCCAGTCTCCCCTTCCATTTAGTTGACAGAAACCCCCAGGTGGGTTTCATTGCCTCGCAGGTAGGTTGGCGTGGTGAGAAGAAATGGCTGATTCCACATGCAGTCCCCCAGCAACCCAGAGTTAAACTAAGATCAGGTGACAGAGCCAGGGCTGGTTTCCTTGGAAACTCCGGGGGGTTCCTTCCACTTGAAGTTGCTCTGAAGAAGAATTCTTGAGCCCCTGTTAGGTTTTCCTCAGAGAAGAAGTGTTCTGTGGTCCTGCTGGGGGTCTCCCAGCTGACCCCCCCCGCCAGCAGGCTGTGTGCCACTTTCTAACAGCTCCCAGAACCCCACAACCCAGTCTGGCAAGTTTGTCCTGTGCCAGCCCTGGGTGACCACCTCCAGGCTCTGCTCGGGGCTCCCGTCTGTTGTCATTTTGCATGTAAACACTGTAACTAGGGTGACCATGAGTTAGCTTGTTGTAGAAAGTGCCAACCACCTTTCTTCTGGCCCAATGACAACCAAGATGTTTGTGGATGGGAGAGAGTCAGTTAACTCCTTCCTGCCTTTTCCCTTCATGGCTCAAATTTAAACCCCGATGCCGCTTGTGGGCAAGGTCTGCATGTGGAGCCTGGGGTTCAATCCTTCCCACATGTTCCCTCATTTCATTTGTTTGTGGCAGCATGATGAGGTGGGGCTCATCCGTACACTACAGGTGTGGGAACTGTGACCTAAGAGGTAGGGTGGCATTCCCGGGTCACTACTGAGTGGCCACTCTGGAAGCTAATAACACCATTGCTATTTATCCCATGCGGGTCCTGGAACCTGAACTCCATCACCACTGTAAGCGGAGGCGGGAGAGATCTCTATTCCCTGCAGTTACCTGATATTCAGAATCCACCTTATGCTGTATGTCCCGCAGATACTGAACATCGCTGACGAACTTCTGCCTGTCCTTTGCTTCATGCAACATGATTCTTAATCCCCAACCTACAGGTAAAAGATAAATAAACGCACTGTGGGATAATCCTGTGCTGCTCTGCCCATGGTCTTTATCTTAGTTTGATTGCTCTAGTTCTCTTATTAATCTCGTCTCCATTGTTTGCAAGGCACAGCTGTCCTTTCCCAAACCAAAGGGCCTCTATGTACAGTGTCATTGCCCCAGGGCCCCCCCGTTCCAGGTATAAATAATGCAGCCACAGTCGTCAGCTGGCTTCAGGGAGCCGGTCCTGGCTATTTGTAGGGAGTTAGATCGACAGACATTTGATTCAGAAGCAATTACATGTGATATAAACCAAGAGCCCTAGCTAAATTAGCAATGGCGGAGGTTCCCGGCCCTGGAAGCTTAAATTCATTGATTCAATCATGAATGCGCTCCTGTTCCAATCCAGGCGCAGAGCCAGGACCCGGGACAGAGCCGTCAGCGGGATGAACGTGGCCCCAGGCTGACTGCCGCTCACTATCTAGAGTGGGGGACCAGGATGGGCTGAGGGAACCCCAACTGGGGTTGGTAACTGCTCTGGAGAAAGTACAGTGGGCTCTGATGGAGTTAGTGGGGAAGGGAAACTCCCCGGCCAGGGAGGCAAGGGTTTCCTTAGGAAATGACCCAGGCAAGGTTTGACAGGGAGTGAGTCGGAGCGGGACACTTCAGTCCAGAGGGCCGATGAGGGGTTGGCATAGATGGGGCATATGGAGTCAGCACTGTCCAAGGAAGAGCAGCAGGGCCCAGTGAGTGTGCAGCCTGGAAGGGTAGGGTTTTAAGGTGCTTTCTAACCTTCTGGAAGGTTCCAAACTATGGGTGAGGTTGGCAGTGATTACAAAGATTGCATGTCTACAAAGTCACCTCAGCTGTAGTTTGGCATAAGGAAGAGGTGGAGATGAGGGAGTGGAATGAAAATGGGCCTGGAGAAACCTGGGGACAGATGATTGCAGAGAGGCTAAGAGGGCGGCTGGGGTAGGGGAGACAGGAAGCAACTGAGGTACTGTCCCAAGCATTTATACACAGTGACTCATTCTATCTTCACCACACCACAGGGGGGACTGGGGGAGGGAGGACATGTGAAGATAAGGAAATTGAGATGGAGGAAATTGCATCAGCTGCCCGAGCTTGCTTCCGGGTGAGGGTGGGGTTGGGCCTACCAGCTGTACCCAGCCCTCAGCTGGACACGCACGCACTGGAGGGCAGCCTGATGGCTCACGGGGAGGCTGCTGGGTGCCTATATTCCCTTCAGGAAACTCAGGAGAGCTGGTTTGAGAGAAAACAATGGGGAGACAGACGTGACTGGGGCCCAGCTACTGGAACTGTTGTGAGGGAAGCAGGTTGTCTGAGAGGTGGCACTTGTTGACATTTTTGGCAGTAACTGACCTTGAAGACAGAATGGGCACTGAGGAGAGAAGAGTCCAGCACAAAACCCTGAGGGACTAAGAGGGAACAAGGGAGCTAGAGAGAAATTATGAGAAGCCCAGGGTGGGAGCAATCCCTGGAGGCCGAGAAGATGGTTTTTCATCAGGGAGGTTGGTACCGCCCTGGTGAGAGCACTTGAAGGGGGCAGTGGGGCTGAAGATGGACTTTGAGACGCTGTCCAGAAAGGGTCAGGGAGTGGAACCAGCTGTTTCACCTGCAGTTCTGAGCAAACACTGAGGATCACCAAGCTGCCTAAAAGGGCAGCTCATAAGGCAGCATTCAAGGCCACTTCCCTCAGCTCCCCAAGGCCACACTACTTTCTCTGGCAGTGTGGCACTTCCAAACATTCTGGCATGCTCTTTGTGCTGTCAAAGCTTGGAAAGCTACAATCAGATGATGTTCCTGGCCCAGCTCACCCTTCCACTCTTTTTTTTTTTATTTTGCTTTTTGAGTCACAGTTAGCGATGTACAGGGGTTACTCTGACTCATGAATTCAGGAATTACTCCTGGCGGTGCTCAGGGGACCATATGGAATGCTGGGAATCAAACCAGGGTCAGCGGCATGCAAGGCAAACGCCTTACCCACTGTGCTATCCCTCCAACCCCACTCTCCCTTCCACTCTTCCTTCTCCACTTTATCCCCTTCTGGCGATGCTGGCAGCAGAGCCAGGGACCACCTCAAGGTCACTCCGCATCTGACTGCCCAGAGCCGGTGAGTCTTGAAATCAGAGGGAGAACTCGGACTGGTCCCTCAGAGACTACTTTTCCTCTGCTCTAGAAAGCCGGTTTTGAAGGTTGGAATCAGAAACTTCAGTCTGGGAGCTTGGCTATGCAGCATTCAAGCACAAACCTAACTTTTGTCCCCATGCATTTTCAATCGTCCTTCCTAAACTTGATTTTCAAAAAGCACTTGCCCCATGAATTTGTACCAATGCAGAATCAAGTTATGCTCCCACCAACTGCAGAAACAGAGGGTGTTAACAACAGGCTGAGAGAGATAGATGCACCCCTGTTGCTACTACTGGAAAGAAAAGTGCCTGAATATTAATCAGGCAGAGAATAGAAGGATTCGGAATTAAAAATGCATCAGTGGTCACTAAGAGGGCATATCCCAGAGTCCATGTGGATATTTGTTTGTGAAGTTAGCAGAGAAATGCCAGCTAATTATCACACAGTGTTATTTTTCAGGTGTCTAAATCAAGAGGCATGAAATAACTTTGTCCAAGTAGGTAAGAAATAACTATTTGAACTATTTGCTAGCTTGCCTCTGACTTCACAATCACCTAGCAAATAAAGGACTCGAAACCTGCTGACAATCTCTTCTCTCCTATCTCCCCTCCAGCTAATACTGTACTTGACTATATAAACATTTAGAAGTATCACAGTGCCACATACAATTTCTTCCTAGACACACTGATTCGTTGTGAGATTAAGCAAATACCATGGGCACCAAGGAAGCATTAGTAGAGCTAAATCAAGATGGCGTGTAGGTCCTACAGTTTAGGCAAACATTCTTCCTGTTTCTGAAGGGTCACTTGAGCTTCATGCGACAGTGTTGGTTTGAGAAATGGATCAAAATGAACAAGAAACAAATCGCTGCATAGAAACACGTCTACGCAAGATCAGACTTAATTCGCGAATTTCTGCTTTGTGGGCCCACTCAACCAGATGGCCATTTGAAGTCAGAAATTTCTCAGCAACAAACAGACAGGTGGAGGGGGGAAAGGGTGAGGGAGAATGATGATAAAATGTGGGCGAGCTGCATGCTTCAAAAATAGCATGCTGGATTCTCTGCTGTTTTCACCTTTGAACTGCTTGGTTTAAAATTGCCTCATGGTTTTGCACGTTTCTGTTTTAAGTCGTTGGTGATAAGCTATTGAGCCAACTTTGTGCTTTAGAAATCAACAGGAGGAGTCCTGTTAAATTGGGAGAGAGAGAGAAGGAAAGGGGAGAAAACGAAAATGCCTGCAGGGAAGGGAGGTTGGCTGAAAACAGGAGTGCGTGGCTTTTGACCTGGAAATTCTACTGTCTGTGCATTTGAGGGCTATTCTAGGTACTCTGTGACATATGCATTCCTTGTCTATTTTTTTCATTCATTTCATCATCCTGTTATTCGTCGATTGCCTCGAGCAGGCCCCAGTAACTCTTTCATCTCTTTCATCCTAGCCCTGAGATTAATATTCAAGGCTCTTTAGGAGAATGAGACCCATCATTGTTACTGGTATTTGGCATATTTGGTATGCCACGGGGAATTTGCCAGACTCTGCCCAAGTTTGTCCAAAGTAGGAATGAGATAATAAGATGTCATAAAAAGATGTTCTGATAAGATGTCTTGCAGCCGCAAATGCGGCCACATGGTTCCGGGAGCTGGATTTTATAGTCTCTGAGTCTTGGCCGTTGATGGGATTACACGGCGCCAGGGGGCCAGGTGGTGGGTGTGACCCCCGCCTACTGGAATTTGGAGGATCTGGGTGGAGGATGCTCAACTCCAATCCGAGTAGGCTTGGAGATCTCGGCCCCGGAACCCACGTGGCTTTGTCCCTCTGCCAGTACCTTCATGTGTGCGGAGAGTGGTCTCGGCATGGTGGTGGCTGGTCCTGGAGGTCTTCCTCTGTCGGAGCCCTGGTCGGGGCAGGGAGGAAAGCTCAACCCGCTCCCCTCCAAGGGACCCCGGCGAGGAACAGCCAGGCGCAGGGGCAGGAGACTGCACTGGTCTCGTCCGGGAGCTGGATTTTATAGTCTCTGAGTCTTGGCCGTTGATGGGACTACACAGCGCCAGGGGGCCAGGTGGTGGGTGTGGTGGTTTTTTTTTTTTTTTTTAGAGAACTGAGAAATTATGCCATCCGATTCTCTTCTCTTTAGGGAGTTGTGCTTTGGTATTATTGGAAATTTATAGGCAAGGACCAGGATCACACCCACCACCTGGTCCTTGCCTATACATTTCCAATAATACCAAAGCACAACTCCCTAAAGAGAAGAGAATCGGATGGCATAATTTCTCAGTTCTCTAAAAAAAAAACCCCTCTCTATATGTATCTATATATTGGCCAAAGAATTGATTGGATGGGAGGAGGGCTTTCTAATAGTAATCAAGTTGTTTTACTGTTTTCTTTTGTGTTCTCATAATAGAAATATTAAAGTGAATATCTGACTGATTTAGCAATAAAGAAGAATGTAAATTTAAAGTCCCTTTTAGGCTGAAAGTGCCTTTGAGACAAAGATTAAGTGGTTAATACCCGGCAATCAGGCACCCCTCCCCTTGGAAGGTGGATTTCAGGGCGGTCCTGTTCATCCTTCTTTACAATTAATCGACAATGGCAAACATCACCGGAGCTGATTTTAAAGGGCATCTTTAAAATCGCCCCAACACATCTCAGCAGAGGGAGCACAAGGAGGGACTGGGGGTGACGGGGAGACAGAGGGCCCTATCCAGTCCTTTGGGCGGAAGAGAGCAATCGCGGGGCGGGCAACAGCTCTTGGGCGGGGACTTCAACTGTGAACCCACAAAAGCCAGGGGCGGCCACACGCTGGTCAGGGAGCCCAGAAGAGAGGCTCAGCGTGTAACTGGG